AATATTAAAAAAGTAGCTAATCTGTCCCCTTCATTTAATTAATTAAAAATGGCTTATAAAGCTGAAATGATTACATCGAGATCACATAACCAACTGGAGACTGAGTCTGGTTGAAAGTAGAGGCTTCTTGCACTCTGCCAAGCACTACTTCGGGAAGCAGATAGGCAAAACTAAGAGTATCAAAAAAGTCAGTGTAGGTGAACTGTGGTGCCCGTGATTTCAGATACTTTAATACTTTAACTCTACAATGGGAAACTAAACCCTGTGACATTCTTAGTTTTGTTCTCTGTTCCAAGTTCTATGAAGTGTCCATGGTAAGGAGTGTATACACATACACAGATATGCTATCGCAAGCACGTCAATAAAATGTAGGCGGGATGTGTATGATTTTTGTGCTTTTTTTTCAGGGTGAAGGGCTATGCTATGAGTCACAGGGAATTCCATTTATTTATTTATTTATTTATTTATTTATTTATTTATTTATTTATTTATTTTTGGTACTGGGGAATCGAACTCAGGTCCTGTGCTTGCGGGGCAGGCAGCAGAACCACTGAGCTAAATCCCTTGCCCTTAAACAAATAATCTTAAGAGGTGGCACAGGACCTCTTTGGCCATATTTGGAGTGACAATTTGATTTTTTTCAGCTTCTCAATTATGTTATCTTTTATCAAAAGAGATATTTTTACACTACAGAAAAACAATTAAAATATAAAATGTATATATGCTATATAACCTAGTAATTCCATTTCTAAAGCGCTTGTATGTGTACATGGACACCAAGAGGTTTGAGCAAAGATTTTCATAGCAGCATTGTTTCTAAAAGTGGAATAAGAGAAACTAGGTGTTCATCAACAGACAACCTAGCCCGTCCATACCGTGAGACACAATACAACAGCTAATGGGGTATATTGCTGCATAAAATGAGCAACCTGTAGAATCCTATATATTATGTGAGTAAAAACTATATTCATATGTCTATATAAATGCAACACAAGAGCCTGGAGTCATGTACTTCAAAGTGATAATAGTTTTTACCAGTTGGTAGTGGATAAAGAGGTAAAGAACAAAAGATAAAATGAAAAGCAATCCGGGTGTGGGACTGCACGCCTGTGATCTCAGCCCTTGAGAGGCTGAGGCAAAAAGATCACCAAGAGTTTGAGGCCAGCCTGTGCTACATAGTGAGACCCTGCCTCAAAGAAACAAAAAGAACCCAAAACACAACAACAGAAAAGATGGAAGACCAGGAACTTGTTAATTTATTACATTCGAATACTTTACATGAAAATAATGTATTCATGTGCTGGGTAAGTTACGTTGTTTTAAAAATAAATATATAATTGTTTAACTATTCTAAATCACATAATACATGAAGGAAAAAGTGATATTTCCCTTTTTTCTCCTCTGTAATTTGTCCCTTCTCTTTTTGGTGGACATTTCAGTTGTTTTCACTTTTTAGTTTGATATTAAAAGTAGTATTACAAAGAAAATTCTTGTTTGCTTTTCTCATTTTCTATTCATTTTATTATTTAAGGAGAATAGATCCAAAGAACTGTGGTCATGTATATCAGCACTTGAAAGTTTTACTGCCTGCTGCCAAACTGCCACCAAAAAGAGCATGCTAGTGATTCCTAGAACATTATTTCTGTGGTAACTCCTAATCCACACTAACATGGCTGCAACAATAGCAGCTGCATCCAGACATATTGATTTGGCCTTACTCCAGGGCCATAGCTGACTTCATGTCCTACCCTTTGCTTCTTAACCATTTGTAGAACCAATGCAAAAGCTGACTTGATTAGCTGAGTTGTGATGGGATTGGCTGGTACATGCCTAGGTCTGTAACTATGAAACTGAGACAAACTGATCACCCATGTGCTATACGTGAAACACATACATGTTTTCTTTGGTTAATATAATTCTGGGTATACAGTATTTTAAAAATCCAAATCAGTGACACGTATTTTTTTGCTCATTGAGTTTATTGGTACGTTTTAGGTATACAGTACAGTTGCATTCATTATTGGGATCTTGTACCTTTGCATGACAGGTCTTGTTCTCATTTTTCCCCTTGTCCCTGCCCTCCCTTCACCCTCTCCTCCCCTCCCCCTTCAGAAACACTTCATTTCCATTTCTTCATTTTCTCTTATTTTTTCTTTTCCCTTCTTTCCTTTCCCCTACCCTTCCCACGTTCCCTACACCTTTAGCCCTTTTCTTCCTATTTCACATTGTCCATTAGATCATTAGGATCTTATGTACTATTACAGTTTATTCACACCAGGGAAACTATTTCAGTGACAAGTATTGAGGGAGAAGGGCTTAATTACCATTTGGAGGTCTTCTTTTGTGGGGTTCTCTATACACAGAATCAATTCATATAACATTCTTGATATTTCTTCATTCCCCCACTCATACCTCTGGATAATGGAGTGGCTTCCTCTTCTTTTCCTCTTTGTGGCTGGCTCCCCAGAGAGAGCCTGCTTCTGACTTCAACTGGGGTGATAATTCTATTTCTGGAGTTTAATATAAGAAACACCAATTGCCCTCAGGAAAGTTGCATTCCAGAACACAAAGTTAATATTTTGATACTAATCTATCTTTCCCCTATCTTAACTGATTCAGAACTAATGCAGAAGAGAAGTATACTATTGATTGGACCTCTTTAACTCCAAATGTTAATGTTTAAAAATATCAAGATTTCAAACTTGATAGATTTTTTACAACATAATCAATATTTCTGAATTTTTTAAACTGAAAAATTATGCGACACCGCGGCCTTGTTTCTAAAAGAGGACAACAGCTGGAGCTGAGATACAGCGTTCCTTTTGGAAGGGGCACACACTATCCCATGGATCACGTTCTTGCCTATTCCCTGTTTTTCTCGATATATTGACAGAGAGTACTAATACTCAGCACTTTCTGTGGTGACAGAGTTGTAGTAAACAGGATGACAACCTTCGCAAGATATCTATATCCCAATACTTGGAAACTATGAATAAGTTCATGGCAAAAAGACTTTTACAGGTGCAATTAAGGACTTTGGGAATAGAATAAAATCCTGACATTTTACAGCCAAGAATAAGGTCTTTCTGTCAGAAGTCAAAGCAAAGTTTGAGAGATGAATTGAAAATTTTACCCCATATACTAGAATCTATCCAAAGTGAATGTTTTATAATCCAGAATATAAAGCTATATTTGTGACTAAAAACGATACATTAGGTACCCAATGTAATCACAGGTTCCTAAAAAGACAAGATAAAGGTAGGAGGCTCTGAGTCAGAGAAAGGAACAGAAGTCAGATAACGAAGATCTGAAGATGCTACACTGTTGGCTTTCAACATGCAGAAAAGAATCACCTGCCAAAGAATGGCAAGTATCTTCTAGGGATCAAAAGAGGCAAGAAAAAAAATTCTCTCCTAGAGCCTCTGGGAGGAATGCAGTCCTGTCTGAACTTCAATTTTAGTCAAGTAAAACCATGTTGGACTTCCAAACACCAGAACTGTAGGTCTTCACCTTTTAAGAACCCGAGTGAGGGTGGTTGCCCATGTTTCACCTTCATATGTAACAAACAATACCAGCAATGCTGCAAGTATCTCTGAAAGTTTTACCTTTATCCCCGAGATCCTTAGAAACCCATTTTGGGCAGGGACATTCTTCACGAAGCATATAAAGGCCATTTCTAGCTACATCAGTGATATATTGTTCATATCCAGGGATGGCATAGAGTGACATAGAGTGAGAACTGCAGGATTTGCAACCAAAGTAGACTAAAATCTTCTAGACAACTGAGGCTATTTAAATCTTGCAAGAGATAAATGTTGAAGATTCTTGCACAGGAAATTTTATAAATGTGAAAAGTTGGCTTTAGCAGGTTATTTGATATTGGACCTATAATCGTCCTTAGTCACAAATATAGCTTTATATTCTGGATTAAACAAATTCACCTTGGATAGATTCTAGCATATGGGGTGAAATTTTCACTTCATCTCTCAAACTTTGCTTTGACATCTGCCATATGAAAGAACTTATTCCTTGGCTGTAGAATGTCATGGACTTTTCTCACATTTTAAAATAATGGTTACAAAGAGTAGACAACTTTTTAAAATTAAACTTTTTTTTTTATTTTGGTTTTTTGAGACAGGGTCTTACTGTGTAGTTGAGACTGACCTGGAACTCACTATGTAGCCCAGCTGGTCTCGAACTCACAGCAATCCTCCTGCCTCAGCCTCCCGAGTGCTGGGATTACAGGCATGCGCCACCATGCCCGGCTTTAAAATTAAACTTTAAAAATGTGATCTTAACCATTCTAAGATCACTTTTAAAATGTGATGATAAATGCAAGTAGTGAAAACACATTCAATGACTCATAATTAGTTAACACTCAACATGGGAAGAAGAGCAGAAAAGTATTTTTTACTAGAGAAAATGTAATAAGATGTTGCCATCATTTCGGCAGTGTACTAGTATTTTACTAACATAAAATTATAGCTTTACAAAACTTGAGTTACTACTTACATTTGAATACCCTAATTTTATAAACTTAAAGTCCTTAATTTAAAAAAAAGCAACAACTCAATTGCAATTGACAAATAGGACAAAATTCCTTGCCAAAAACATCATTAAAAGCTAATAAATAGTTCCAAACTGTATTTCACAATTATTTTAAAAATTCAAATTCTGTTTCATAATCATAACAGGAAAAATACAAGTTTATTATGCTGTAATGGTGAATACTGGATTTGAGTTGCTATTTTAATGAAATTTGTTCTACATAATATGTGTATGTGGCTGCTTGCCTTATAAGTACAAAGACCTGAGTTTGATTCCTAGTACAAAATATATATATGTACATACACACACATACATACATATACATACAGATATATACATATATGTATGTATGTATGTGATCCCATATTCACCCCCACCTCTTTTAGAGTAAATACAATAATATTTCTTTAGCTACCGAATGACCAGCCAGGAGCAAAAGTACAGCACAGGAAGATAACTTTTATTAGGTTTGAACTAGAAACAGAGCAGACAGCAAACTCACGAGGTATAATTTGATTTTTGGAAACCAGGCTTCAACAATAATAAAAATAACAAGTCTTAACTGCACAGATATTTTGGTTACTATTATAATCTCCAGGGGCACAAAAGCCAGCAGCATATGGTAACATAAAGGTAATGACTGAACATTGTTGATGTACTCAAAACACAGAGCACTGTATTAAACTCTGTCCTTTTATTTTCTTAATCTTTTCTTAAAGTTGTTGTTACTTACAAGCACACACGTAGCATTCCTACAAGAATACTGCCCTAATATTTTAAGACTAATACTAAGCTTTTCTTTTCTCCAAAATTTGAATGAGTCATGATTCCAGTCTCTACTATATTGTCAATGGTAATATGCATGATTGATTTTGTTTTCAAGGTTAAATAGCAGATTGACTTTGCATTTGGTAGCCAGCTGTGTACCCTAATTTTTATCTTTTATTATCTTAATAAATTTAACTATAGTTCTTTAGCCCTGAGATATTAGATAGCTTGCTAATGATTGTATATTTATAATTTAGACTTTACTCCATTCAGTTTACAGCCCCTATAAGTTTTTTAAAATTATTTACAAATGGTTATAACCAAAACAATGATAAAATTTACTACTTGTATATTTAAGACTACTAGTAAGGCCTTTAAGAGTTGCATATTTTATGCATTTTAAACTTGCTAGGTACAACTCTTAAAATTACTTTTACAATTCTGTGACCAATAAGTGCTTTTCATTTTGCTGACTTCTATGTGGACAGCCAGACTCTTCTAAACAATCTCATTTTTTTCCTTCCCCAAACATAAATGCTAGTTTTTCCAACTGAACAGCTGCCAAAAGGAACTTGTATTTGAACAACAAGTTGATAACTGTAATGCCTAACAGAGAAACATGTTCACACAGGCATTCCATGTTTGTTCCACATGGATGAGTGGATTGTAAGGCAGTTATCTGAATCATGTACTGTCCATCACATGGTATAAATGATTTTGCTTAATCAGGAATTTCTGGTTATCAGATTTAATATAACCTCAAGTATAAATCCAAAAAAAATTAATTAAAAAATGCATTTACCAGTTCTCAGAAAAAGTGAACAGGTTAATCATAATTCCTACTATAGCATTAGTTATAGTTATTAGTTATTATACACAGCTAAGGAAGGAAAAGAAATAAAACAAAAATCTAAGAGGTGTTAGCTAATTCTTGTCATTTGTCCACATTTTTCCATGTAGCTTTTTTAGTCAAACATTTATCCCTGGAAAATTCTCTAGCTGAAAGATAGCTTTATTTTCTGAATGGATTTTACCATTTCCTTAGGTATATAATAGTGAAAAGCTGGTATAAATATATTATATTTTTATGTCATGCCATATTCTCCATTTAGTTTTTGCTAATATTCAAATTTTTCCTAATTTAATGATGCTGTATAGATTATGAGGTAATCTAACACACAATGAGATTACCTGCTTATAATAGGTTTAGTTAATAGCTTTGAAACATATTGCACACTTGTCATCTAACATAGTAATAAGTATTACTCTTTTTGGAAAGAATACACTGACAAATTCTTAAGTTAATGGCTTTAGCCCAATATTTTTAGATGGTCACAGGACAATTGCAATAGCAAAAACATTGACAATGCAGTTCATGGTTCGGTTCTCCCATCTTACAGTACAGGTTCCTGAAAACACACAAGAAAAGAACTTTGAAATATTAGTAAAACATCAAAATTACCAGGGCAGGGGATACACACACATTTTTCATACATTTTAATATTATTTATATATTTCTTCCAATATGTTAGATTTTCCTGTTTCATTTTCATACTGTTCTGAAGTCATACTTGTAACTAAGTTTAACGAGCAATTCTGTTGATAGAGAATTTAATTAGAGCTAAATACACATTTGATAAAAAGTGTACCATTTGACTTTGCTAGAAAAGTTTGATTTTATGTGAATCAGCTTAAAAGTCTCTTACCATCAGATGTGGTATCCCAAAAACATGAGCTGGCTGTGTGAAAGCCATATGCACTCCGCTGGACCACTGCACAGGTCACTACAAATAAAGTCACAGAATGAGGACACTTATGGACAGAGGAAAAGTCAGATTGAAGCATTTCAATTCAGAGTTCTAAAAACTGAAAAAGCTGGGCACAGTGATATATCCCTGTATTTCCTTCATTCTAGGAGGCTGAGGCAGGAGGATCCAAAGTTTAAACCCAACCTGGGCAATGTAGTGATTTAGTAACAGCCTGTCACTCAAAAAGTGGAAGAGGGTACTGGGGGTGTAGCTCAGTGTGAATGCCCCAGGTTCAGTCACTAGTGCCAAAAAAAAAAACTTTTAAAAAACTGAAAAATAGCCAGTGCAACTAAAAAAAAAGTCTCTCATCTTGATTATCTACCATCACAATTTTAAGCCCCCTGACTCCAGTCAGATTGGGAAGCACTGCTGTAACCACTGGTCACTGTATTGCGGGAAAATTCTGGGACAAACTGTGTCTTCTGCTGTGGGCAGAGCTGAGACACAGAAATGCAGGAAGTATTTCACTTTACAGTTGAGTGTGCAGCACATCACAGTCTTACAGAGAGGCATGGAATCACTGAAAAGAAGACAGAGGAGATCTCAGTGGAAAGGAAATTGATGCAAGTGCAAAAAGTGTTGCTACCCAGGGCAAGGAGTTCAAGCTGCTTGTGAGTATGAAAAATCTTCTTTTAGGTATAATTATATACTATCTTTAAATGAATAATCAAAATCCCTTCATACATATCAGTATCCACTTTCAGTGCTTACCATTTATTTATGTTCTCAAAATCCAAAGAAAATCATTAGGACAAAGGTAGGTAAACTAGCGAGGAAGGGCACTGACTCTTACCAATGTATTTGTAAGCTTTCCCCAGCTTAACCAAATGTGTGAGCGACTGCTCCACTATGCTTGCAGTCCACTGGTTGATATTGTTCTGATTATAGTCCTCACCTCCTAAGACCCCATCCACGCACTAGAAAGGCAGAGGATAGCTAAATTAGCCAAAACGAACAAACACAAATTGTGACAAAAATTTATTCAAAGCATAAAATCCATATACAACCCAATAAGACACCTTAGAAAATATGTGTCTGCTGGGGATTTATTACACTCTACTACTAGTTGCCTAAGTTTTCAAAGCATTTCCCCAAGCATGATATCACTCTGTGAAATACTATGGGTCATATAAAGATAAATGTGCCAAAGTTTCTGTGGTGAAGGACTTGATCTAGCAGGGATGATAATAAGAAAATCTCTAATATCTACAACACAAAAAAAGACTAATCATAGAAGGTAAGTTATGAAGTGACTACAGAGCAAGAGGGGATTAAAAGAGGATGATATTAATTGGTTCAGGAGTAGCTCTGAAACACCTGAGATTTAAACTAGGGCTCAGATGCTAGAAACAAAGGATGAGACTAACTGAAAAACGTATTTCTTGTGTATAATAATTATATTCTCATTATATATTCTATAATTGCTTAACTATAAAACTACTAGCATAACTGCCAATGAAAGTAAATGCAGATACTTTGCAAAGAGCCAATCTAATTCCCCACAGTTCTCATTTGCATCCACTTCTGTGCAACTTCGAGTGCACTGGCTTTAGAATGATAATCCTAGGTTTTAAGGCCAACCCACCGTGTGTGTGACCTTGAGCAAGTAGCTTACGTCCTCAAACCTCTACTTTCTGAATCTTTACAGAAATGATTATGGCATCATTTTATCAAGTTATTGAGAGGACAAAATGAGATAATGAGTGCTCAAACACAGTAAGTGGCACAAAGTAAGCACATAAACTATTATTATATTTCTGCGGCTTTTATATTCAAGTGATAAAGCATAGAAAATAAAGCATTCACTCATTTTCAGAATCTAGTTGAATGCACACACAAGCACGCACGTGTCTTTCATTTAATACAATTATAGTAAAGATTTATAAAGATGTTAATAAAGAATCCTAAGCTAGATCTTTACAAATCTTTACAAATACTAAAAGGTCAAAAAAAAATATTAGAGGGGTTGACAAAATTAATGTGACTCAAATTAGTCTAGAAATTTCAGTAGCATGACAGATTAGGAGGGACAGGAGACTAAACGTCCGGAGAACAGTTTTAATCCTAGTTTTATCACTACAAAGCTTATGACGTTGGGATTAACCTTTTGTTCTTTTCAGAAGAAATTTTCCTTAATGGGACAGTAAAAGTAGTGGAGTTTTGTTTGTTTGTTTGATTTTGTTTTCCAGGTTGTCTAATAGGACTATTCCAAATTCTGCTCTAAAAAACAGAAAGCAATATGAGGATGTAGGTTCCACTGTCAATAGCCCTGTTAATTAATATTAATATGCGGTCTACCAAAAACCAAGATGCCCACTAGACAATGAAATCCTTAAACACCTCTGTATTCCCAAAGCCAAATTCAGGACCTGGACACAGAGCAGGTACTTAATAAATATTTGGTGTTGATGCAATATTGCTCTGATATACTCTCTGGCATCTTAAATCAAATCCACTTTAGATTAAGTTCCAAATTAATTTGATTAGTAACTCATTTTTTCTTTGAGGATATTCTGGGAGGGAGAAATTCTACTAATACCAATACATAAAATGTCTGAATATTACTAATAAATGAGTGGCCCTAAGAGTTCAGTAGAAGAAGACATTGGCATGGAGGCTCTGAACAATGAACTAAAGGGAAGAACATAAGAAAACAGAAATAACTAGAGAAAATGATGTAATTGCCTAGGAAGTGCTGAAATGATTTTTCATAGTGCTCACTCTCAAGCTGCTCCAGTGGCTCAGTGGAAATATTTCAGTGATAGAGAAAAGTTGGCTCATGAGGAGAGAGGAGGAAGAAAGAGCAGAGACATGTAGCTCAAAGTAACCTGTGTAAACCAGGGATTCCTTTGAAATCTTATGTTTCATATAAAAAATTCAAGTGAATCTTGCTTTTGATGCTAAGGGGTCAGTTTGTATAAAAACTGTTTTCTGGGGCTGGATATTTAGTCCAGAGGCACAGCGCCTGCCTGGCAAACATGTGACCCTGAGTTCAATCCCCACTACCCCCCAAAAAAAGTTTTCAGTTAAATTATTTATACTGCGTAACTCTTTCTTTCAAATACCATTTATTTCGTGCTCTAAAATATAGTTGCTTCTAGAACCACCTAGCCACTGCCAAGTATGTACACCCCAGTTTAAGCAGGATAGTTCTTTTAATTCAATAAAGCATTAGAGTGACATATATAGAAGTGTACCTCCTCACCCTTTCCTTCCCCTCCCCCAATCCCATTCACGAGAGGAAAACACCTTCAGTGTACAACTGCCTGTTTATTTTTCTAAGAATAATATACCTCCAAATTACATTTATATCAATAGTTGTTGATTTATGAATTATCAACAACATCCATAAAACCCCTACTATGACAGAGGACAATTTATTTCCCTTAAGCTACCTGTCTCCTTCCTCCCACCCCTCTTAAAATAGAGATTTTTAGTTATTATTTTTAATTCAATATATAGTATCAAACATGTTTCTTCTCAGAACATGTTTCTTTTCCACTCCCGACAGCTCCTTGTGCACAGATTTTTTCCTTAATATTCCCAGCCTTGTATCCCAAAAGTTATTTATTTTCCTTGTGAAAAGGAGTAAGTTATCTAGCTGGTGGGTGACTATCGCTGTTGGACTTAAGTTTGATAAACACCTTGGACTTGGGTTTTTGTTTCTCCTGGACTCTCTACCCAGATCAAAGAAAGGCATCAGCCTGGGTAAGAGTTTCTATGTGCTGAATGAAGCTTTCCCTTGGGTATCTTCCAAGGTCTGAGCTAAGCACAGGTAAGTAAAACAACCTACAGTTATCTATCTAGGTTTTATCCATAAAAGAGGTGTTTTGTCCTTTTTCTGATGACTCTATTGTTGTTTTATCTGGTTCAGAACTTGAGTAAGGAAGAAGGCGCTAATTAGAGACCCCACCAAAGTCCTAGCATGTTTTCTTTTATGTTCTGTTGAGCAAGAATAATTGCTCTTGATTTTCTATTTTGAAAAATGAGATTGGTATCACTCTCATCCTTCTCATTAATCTCTACTTTCAAATTTTTTTCATTTGTACTTTCACATCATTTTAATAATCATTATGCTTTTAATAAATAAATGCTTCTGCACTATATGCTTCTAATACATGATTTTGACCTATTAAAATATGGCAGGATTTTCAGGTGCCTATCTAGCCGTCTCAGACACTCAGTTGTTTCTAGGTGTACAAGCCAGACATGTATGAGCTCTGGATGATCAGGTGCCCCGGGAGCAATCAGGCAGGTGAGGCACTGACTCAGGATGGATTGACCATGGAACAATGCTGATCCAGCCCAGACTTAATGCAGTCAGGGCTTGCTAGGAAGCAGGTTCCAACAGCCATATAAGATCGCTTTCTGGGCTAGCTCAGATTTTACTAGGAGTTGGCAGAATTAGAGATGACTAAACACTACTAAAATGTTCATAATTACCTTTCCCACAGTGTAATCTGTACTAGTACCATTAGAATAACTAAAGTTCTTCTGACAGAATTGATTCCCAAAGAGAATTTCCTTCCTATCGGCCTAAAAAAGGACCAGGTTTCATGTTTCTAAGTTTTCTTAAGAGTTTAGTTTATCATAACATCAGTGCCTAGAAGAGGTGAAGTGATTGTTTTTCCTATTATATTGGGTTAAAACAGCAAATAATGGCCAAAGGCAGGTATTTCTAGGATCTTTTATATCACATTAAAAAAGTAAATAGATGCACATATGCTTTTATAGAATTAACGTTAAAATAATGGTCTACTGGAATAAAGAGGTAGAGTATCAATTTTAGAAAACAATTTTCTAAGACTAAAATGGTCCTTAAGCATCTCTTTCACAGTAACCCCAAGATGCTCAACATGTCAAAAACACAGAAGCACCCCTATAAAGAGTTCACGATTGTTTAAAATCTTGTTGTTTTAACACTGTTTCTAGCCATGAAGTAAAAATCAAAACAATAGATTTTTTTTAAACTGCCATCAGTGCAGTAAGCTTCAAAATGACTATGTATAACTTACCTCTTTGACGATATTGTGAGCCTCATCAGCATTGAAGCCCACCTAAATAGAAGACACAAGATAAATCTGCTTTCAACACAGGCTTTGCAAATGTGTATATTCAACAAGGCAGAGAATATCTTAGGCTGGCCTAGACAGGGGTTAGTGACGGGAGACCATAATAATAGGATGGTAAGACACATCATGTCAATTCTGCCCCAAACACTGAAAAAATACAGAATGCTTTCCCCATTTCTCTCCGTAAAGATTCTAGTTCATTAGGTCTGGGAAGAACCTGGGAAGCTACATCCTTTGCAGAAGTGCTTTATACTAGTGATTCTGATGAACATCCTAGATTGAGAATCATTGTATTGTAAAGCTTATGAAATAAAAAGGAAGGGGTTGTGAAGATTTATGTGTTATTAGTATACTGAAAATGGTTTCAACTAAGTGAGAAAATAAAGTGACCCATAAGAAGAGAATATTTACTTTGGTTATTTTTCAGTTTTCTTTTTTAACCTGGACTAGACAAAAATGTGCTTTCCCCAATTAAAGATTATCACAATACTTGATCATTCAGCATTAACATCACTTTAACACTATAAACTGGTCCCCGAACTTAAGTCTTTCCTTTGGAGTAGGATCCTGAATTAACAGCAACCGTCGATAACATTCTAGTGTCCTAAAGCACAGAACTAGGTTATGTGATAAGACTGAAATCTAAACCAAGACACTTCAGGTAATGTAAGAGTTAATTCTACAGAGACATTTTTAGGTGCTTTTAGCATCCGTAATTTGGTTTGAAAAAAAACACCATACAACTTATAATTACTTCAAAAGGTTAATTCTGAAATTACAATTTTGAGTATAGATTTAAAATGTTTAACTCATTTGATTACCCTCCAGAAGTTTTCCAAAACCAAAGAATGAAATATGACTCCTAAGTTTTTAGAAGTATTATGAAAAGACTATTACTAGGTAGTAGGAGTAATACTATTAAATATTTAGGAGTATTATGAAAAGAGGTTTCACATTTTGGCCCTATTAGAAATTATTTTACCCTAAAATCATATCCTTATCTGCTGTCAAATTTGGTCTACAAATCAAAATATTTTTTTTTAAATAGGGTCTCACTGAGTTGCTAAGTTTCCCAGGCGGCTAGAAATAGTGATCCTCCTGACTCAGCCTCCCAAGTAATGGGATTATAGGCATGTTACACCACTTCCAGCTTCAAATTCTTATTTTTAAAAAATAAGAATACCACTGTGTGTAAGTGTGTGTGTCACCTGTGACGCAGAATTAGTTAAATGCGGCTTTAGCTTCTGTACAATGCTCATATCCTCAAAGATTCCCACTGAACCCGAAAACCCTTCTAAGAACCTAATGCATCGTTTTATGCTGCATCTCTGCGACAGAATTATTTTTATTTTCCTGCATCATTCGCCAGTGCTACCATTGGACACAAAATGTCTTTCTCTATCTTGCCTTTGCAAACTGTCACAAGTTATGCCGGGATCCTACAGGCTCCACCCTCCAAGTAGCTGCAATGAAGCAAGAGCTGTTGCAGTTTAGGCAGCGGCCTGGATTCAAAACGAGCACCTGTCATTCCAAGCAGTTTTAACTTTAGAGCACTTCAGTCGCCATGAAGTAATAGTTCTCATCAGTAACAGCAACTGACATCGTGAGATTTCGGTGAGGCTTAGGAAACTTGACTCGGTAAGCAACGGCTCCTAATCTGTAAAGCATCTCCTTCCAACCCCTCCTCCCTACCCCCAGGAGCGAGTTCCCAGGAGCAGGAGCCGTAGTGCCAGTAAGGTCTCAAGCAGCTGGGCTGGGGCACCTGCTTCTGAGGACCCAAAGGGCGGAGGAGGCAGCGGGAAGACCGGTTTCCAAGGCCAGTTTGGCAGACGGGCGGTGCCCGCCACTCCATGTCCACATTTTCCCC